AGATCGTTCAAAGTACACGTTGGCAGTGGTATTTTCTTCTAAGCGTTCTCCCAATGGCGATAAGCGATAACCAAAAGCAAATATGATATTTAGAATAGAGTAGAATAATTCATCCACTTCGCAATTAACAGCATCCCCGGACCATATCTCTTCATACGCACACATAAATGTTTGTCTGTGAATAAAGGGATAAAGCGGATATGCATACTCAAAATAATTCTTAACATAGCTATCAGCCACACTTCTAGGAGGTACTACTATTCCAGATAAGCTTATGGTAGATCTCTCCTTCTCATTTCTGCTCATCTTATACACACATGGCCTTTCTGATATCAGCTCAACCTTATCAATTGGTTTACCATCAACCGTTGCAAAAAGTTCCTTCATAAAGGACATAGCGGCAGATCTTCCGTAAAAACTTTTATCTTTTGATACATTCGGAGCTGTCCCAGATCCAGCACCCATAGCATCGGTGGTCAGGTCTTCGTCCTTATAGTTAGATTCACCATTCTTTTGTAAAGCTGTATCGGTAGAAACTAGTATTTTTTTATTTGAGCCAAGATGAGAATCTGAAATAGGCGTATATGGAAATGTAACACCTTGGGAACCTGTTGCAGAATTAGTTATTGATTCTCTGCCATCTGACTCATAGTCGTTCAGATTGCCCTCACTCACAACCGATGAAGAACGATTCATATTAATGCTTTTATGTTTATCATTTGACAAAATTCCTAATTTCTCTTCCAAACTCTTGACATATTCCACACTCACATGAGCTCTTGTATATTTCTTGCCATATATACATGGAATCTTTCTTTTCAAGCATATCCCACATATAGGTTGGACTCCATCACATTTTGTTTTCCTCTGGCGGCAACCTTCACAAGCCAGGGCCACTCTCCTTCTTTTGGTTTTCTCGTTACTTCTACTATTCTTTTCAGCAACCATCTTAAGTACGTCCAACAATAACATACATAATATTATATCTACCTTATTATAATGGATTAGGACGGTTAGAAATTCCGATTGATTTGGTTTTTGCACTACACTTGATCTGCATATCCGGTGATCAAAATTCGTACAGACTGGAATAACATTATCTTTAAGTATCATAAATTATAACGTAAACATAAACCATAAACTATAAAAATTGTACCCTATTACTTTACATACTTACAACTCTATTTAGTTCTGTGAATTTCTAAGTTTTTAAGTAACGGTGTGTCAGAAAAACTAAAAAGATAGGCCACCTCTTGACCTTCGTTCACATGCTTGAACTGCTTCCATGATGGAATACAGAATGTGTCATTTCTGTCCCATTCCAATACTGTTTCTTCCCCATTATCCTCTGTAAGTATAGTGCGTCCTTTACCTTCATGTACGTGGTAAACGAACGAACTATTCTCTTGACGAGATGGAGAAGATGCTCCAATTGCAAGTTTCTCAGCCT